ACCTAGGTCAATAAAATTGGGTCACAAGGTAGTTCCCTGATAGGGCTATCCAACACTTTTGCCGCTTGTCGCTAGGTTGCGTGGTTCTCGAGATCTTAGGGGGGGAGGCCAAAATGCCCCCCCCCCCCAACGGGGCGCGTTGCTCGGCAGAGCCCAACGGGGCGCAGGTTAACTGCACGTGCATAGTTCATGTCCCAGGCACCCCAGTGCAGTCATTTCCATAACATCCTGTAGCGTGTGAATAGTTCTATCAGTGTACCGAGTTTTGTGTCGCTAGCTCGACGTCTCCCGGGATCAGAGGATCCCTCGTCAAAACCATTATCCGCCCCCGCACGCGCAGCTTGCACCCCCCGGATATTATCTCGCCGGAATGTCATGACTCAATGTATTCTTTTTATGACCTGCAAATTTTGAACCAGTTAGAGCTGCCGTTTACCCTGCATGCGTGGCAAAGTACGAAGGGGTGCAATCGGCTTGCACGTGCATAGCTCATGCACCACAGAGCTTAGCTCAACCAAATGTGCACTATTTTGGAGGCCTTGCCTGGGACTACCATTGAACCGATTTCGAAGTTGATAGCTCAAAATTTCTTTGAGCCAGAGGACCTCACGTCAAAACGGTTTTCCGACCCCAGCGGCTTGGCCGAACTTTTCTTCAGCGACCCACCAACGCGAATTTCCGGATGCAAAAGCATGCTGTCGCATGCTTTTGATCCTCCAATTCTGGACTAAGCTTTTGAGAGCGTTTGCCGCAATTTAGTATTTTGCATCAAAATCGGCCGACATGACGTCACTCTGACGTCATTTCCGGCCAAAGTTTTGTAGCTAGAAATTTGAAATTTTAACACAAGGTGTCAAATTGATGCCGCTGAGAGTACCACAAGATTCGTGTTGATCCGTCAAACAGTTTAGAAGATATTGCCGAAAAACGGGAGGGGGGCTCTGTAGAGCCCCCCCCCCGTCATGCGCGGGTTAAGAAATGCATTTATCATGGTCGTGAAGTAGTCACAAGAAATTGCCAAGATTCAGTTCAAGATTTGGAATATGCGGAACGATAATCAAAAATCGAAGATATCCATTTGATTGTTCATGGTATTGGCAGTCTAATGGCGTTTACGGCATGTCTGTAGGTAGGCCTTTATTCAGCGGTTTTATATGATTTTTTGAACATATGCCGTTTTTGGTCGAAAACCCAGAAATCATGACCTCACTAATACCTCGATATCTCAAATTTTTTTTCTGACCGATTTTTTCTAAACTTTGCCACAATAAACTTCATTCAATTTTCTATAGGTACCCAAATTTTATAGCGCGTCGAAAAAGGGGGCGTTTAACGCCCCCGCCCCCAGCAACTCGCGGGAAAGAGGAAAACGTCGCAAAACTAAATTATTCCCTTTTTTGAAAACTAAACCAGCAGAATAATCGCAAAACTTCGGCTCGGCTTATATATCAGTTGGATGGATAGGCAAAGGCATTGGAATTTTCGAGTTTTACACCATATTCCGCGCCGGGCCGGGGGGGGGGGGTGTTTGAGCACCCTCCTGCGGTTTTTCGCAAACTATCTCAAAAAAGGCGGCGCTCCCATTTTTTGCACACCTCTTCAGGCATCTTTTCCACACATGTTGTTAAAATTTCAGACCCAGAGCTCTCAAAGTCAGGTCACCAGGTCACGTAAAGTGACCTCACCTCAGAAAAAGTTTCAACCCTCTTCTTAGCTACACCGACTGAGCGATCGCCTTGAAACTTTCAGCGATTGCTAAGGGTACAGAATGTACAAAATGTATATTTCGTAATTTCGATATCGGTTACCTAAGGTCAGGTCGATTTTGCGACCTCTCTCTCCATTATAGTCAATGGGATAAAATTGAAATGTGCCTCTTTTAGACGAATGGTGTTCAAAACCCTCTCAAACATCGGTACACGGGTAAAAATGACACACTGAATCGGAAAAATGCACCTATGACCCCTTTGTGTGCCACTGAGGTCATCTCAGGTCGTGAACGGTCACCAACAGTTTTTTTGCTATAACTTTTGATAGAGACAAGCTAGAGCGATGAAAACACGTCAGATGTATTCAGCTCGACGATACGGATCGACTGATATGCAGCATGACCCTTTCTGGTCAGGTCATGACCTTGACCTGAGGTCATATTTTCAAAATGACTTTTCAAAGGTCGACGAATAATTCATTCGACGCGTCTCGACAAGAGGAACATGATGCTGGCAAAATCAATGCCGTCACTATCTTGAGTCAAAATTACTTGCAGAAAATTGTTTTTTTATACATAAAAATGGTTATTTCTAGAGTTTTTGCCCTCTGGAGACTAAACCGTTGACCTGAGGTCAAATCTGAGGAAGACGCTCAGGAAGGTCTGTAAAAGGGCTATCGATGCGCTTTTCCGCGGCGCTGTAGCTCTATTGGTTCCCGAGTTAGCCAGTGGCAGTTTCCAAAGTTGTTGAAATGGACAACATTTGACCTTGATGACCTCTGGCGACTTGACCTTTGACCTGACCCAAAAATGACTGAAGTGTTTCCGTCACTATTTTTGACGCTTTTCGAATGGCACTTACCGCGTGTCGCTACGTGGCTCAGCAGCCGAGTTAGACGGGGGAAGGGGGGTGGGGGAGGTTGTTCAGACACCCCCGGCCCGGCGCGGAAGTCGCGAAGCACCGGCACGGCGCGGGGTATGCTGGTGTTGTGTTCAGGCAGTTTGTGTATCTACCGCTAGGTGGCAGGACACAACAGCTGATAGATGTCGCGATGATTCCGGTGAAGCCCAGGACCTACACCAAGACAGGATGTGCCTACACACTACCATAGGCGGCGGAACGGGGAGGGCACTGGGGCACCGTGCCCCCCTTTGATTTTGAAATTTTAACCCTCGCCGGCCGAGGGGGGGGGGGGCGGGTGCCGCCCCCCCCCATAGGGTTTTTTCGCGATAGCTCCGAACACGCTGGCGATAGAGAGCTGAAACTTGGCATACCTGACCTTTGATCCAAGCCGCATCTTTTGACACCAACCGCATTTTTGGGTCAGGTCAGGTCACTGACCTATGACGTCATAAGTGAACCTCTGCACGGTCTTCAGATGTCGCAACTTCGCAACGCCCTCACTGCCAGAGGAGATGTCACAGGGAAATGAAACATGCAGGATCTAGTATCCATTATGAGTCCCACAACTTGTATATCTCGGATTTTTCCTAAAGGTCATATGAGGTCAGGTCATTTTCGTGACCTCACCATTATAAGTCAATGGGGAAAAATGAAAACTGCTATTCTGGCGCCGGGAACGATCTCCAACTATCTCAAGCACACAGAATCGTGATTTTATGCTCTCCTTGCAAGGTCAGATGCGTCACTTTTGCAATGTTGACCTTACGTGACGTCATTTATGACGTCATCAAGGTCATACTAGTTTTTCGTCAATAACTCTTGATCAAATTGAGCTAGCGAGTCGGGAAAGCCACCAATGGACTCAGGAAGACCTACCGAATCGAATGATATGCGACATGACCTCTTTCGACCAACTTCGTGACCTGGGGGTGCTGACCTGACCTTGACCTGAGGTCAACACCCCAAATTGACCTGACCCGGACAAAAAGTATATCATTCGACGCGCCTGAGCGAGACGAACACGATGCTGCCAAAATCGGCGCTCTGCGGCCGTTTTTTGCGAAGTTATTCACCAAAAACTGAACCGTACCTTGGGGCACTTGACCTGACCTCAGAGGTCACCGGTTGACCTAGGACCTTAAAATCGGGTACCAATCTCTGCGTCTCGTAACGGCGCACACGCTCGTTTTTTCCGCGACGCGCTAGCTCCACCAGGGGCGAAACGGCGAGGGGGGGGGTCGTACCCGCCCCCCCCCCCTCGGCCGGCGCGTATGTAGAAAACCAATAGGTCCGGCGAGGATTAACATCTGCAGAAAGAATGGGCTGGCCAAAAAGAATGTGCCAACTGCCGGCCTCCGTGACATCGCCAAGCTCGCGTGAAAATTACTCGTCACGACGTCACAAGCAGCCGAGACTGAGTCAGGCGAGCGTCATTAGTGAAACCTACCACAGATAAAGTCATAAATCGCAAAAACAAAAAGAAATGCACGAATGTGCCCCCAGGCAGTGCATACCTACACATGCCTACACGAAACTGCCCCACAACGTTATTTGTAATATATTTCAAAATTTCTTGTTGAAAAAATGACACTTGTTCAACAAACAAGTTTGCAGCAGTTCCGTGAATAGAGTGAGCTTCTTCGCCCCCAATTTTGAAAAGCTGAACCACATTTCCGGTTCAGGATCACGAAAATGGATGATATAAGAAAAGTTTGGAAAGCTCACGAATATTACAAATTTGCGTTTTTATCAAGCATGACAGCAGGTGCAGTGTTGTCTTCTACGGTGAACGAAGGGCGGCAATGATAGACATATTTTCATAATTTACCTTGAGCTCGTGCAGTCGCTCCTCGTGTTTCCATAAACTGCTGAAAACGATTGTGCCCCATGCACAAATGTGCCCCACATTCCCCTACTGAAAGTTTGGTGACGATCGGCGCAGCGGTTCTGGAGATACCTATATCGAAAAGTCTGGAGGGAGGGGGGGGGGCAAAAATACCCCCCCACACACACACCAGGGCGCGGATTAAGAGCTCTTTTGATCACCGTTTTCCTCGTCTTTCTACAACCATATGTATGTACCTACGTTCGGAAGGTAGACACTGGGGAAGGGGCAGATTCTGCCCATCCCAACGGAGCCGTTCAGCTGAATACCCCAACCAGGGCGTGGGTTAACGCAAATGTGTCGAACCCAGGCCACCGACCAATTTGTGCTGTTGAAGGATGCTGCGCAGTGGGTGAGGGTTCAACCTGGTGCGTATACATATATTACCGTTGACTGAACATATACACACTCTAAAGGTCTCACAGGGAACGTAGCACGGTTCAGTCTGCGACAGTCATGTCGTCCTCTTCGCGTTGCAAGATGAGGTAAAATACATACACTGATTGATCATCAATGCATTTATTGTTGCGAACTTCTTTGAAAAATCTTGTAGGCGCATTCTATTCCGCAATCTGTCCTTCAACTCACGTTACATGAGTGATCAGCGAACTTCATTTAATCACAATAGATACAGATCCTCCACTCTAAGTACGCAAACAGTATAGGTATAAGCAGAGTGTACATACGTCCTTCCAGACATCGCGCATCACTGTGCGTGCACTACTAGCGAGCATATCGTCCACATATACACAGGCTCCCCAAAGCGCGTCACTATATCTACGCAGCGCTACATGAGTAGCGGACCTAATCCTATAGGTATGTATTTCACACTAAAACACATCCCGATAAGATGCTCTATAATACGAACGAACACGTCGGTAAGCCTACCTGAGAACCGGCTCAGGAACTAGCAGAAGTCAAACATCGCCGCCTCTTCCCCTAGCTTATTTTTCTTCTCCTCTCTCCCCTCTCTCTCTCTCTCTCTCTCTCTCTCTCTCTCTCTCTCTCTCTCTCTCTCTCACCTCCCCCCAACACACACAGCACGCACACATGCTAACAAGGCATGAAAGCGTTAGCCATGTCCTTCACGGTGCACGACTCAGACCTGTGCTGATTTATGCTTCTTCTGATAACGTCAGCCAGCACTTCTGGGCCTACCAGCCTCACCGAATCAACCAAAACCTCTCCAGCCGCGTCGACAATGCCAACAGCCGTCTTTCCTGCACCAACCATGAACTCAGAGATCGGGTCCCACATGTAATAAATGCAGGCTGAACCTACACCGACCCCCAAGGTCACAGCGACTGCTGCCGCTGCTGCTCGCATCTTCACACAGGGTGAGAGGAGCAGTACAGTGCCAGCACCAACGAGCAAGCCTACACCGAGCGCACCCCAGATGAGCTTGAGGGTTTTGTTCCAGCCCATAGCTTCAGACAAGATGCCATCAAGCGCGCTTTCAAGCGCATCTTTGAATGGCTCCTTGATCAGCTCCGGAGTCTTTTCCGTCTTTTCCTCAAATGCATCGAGCGCTTTCTTCTTGGCTATTTCGTGTGCACCACGAATAGTTTTCTCGAGGTTTGGCGTGTACCGAAGCGGATTCCATCTGCTGTACTCGCACAAATCAATGTGCTTACGGTACACAGCGATGCACTCGTCAACTACCTTCTTAGTTTTCTCGCTACATTCATGGAAGGCCTTTAGTGTTTGGCGAGTCCCGTTTTTCCTTCTGGAGAACTCCTCTTCTACTTTGTTTTCCAGCGACGTACAGTAGCGTCCGTCTGGTTCACAAGTGTCTCTTGCGTTGACCCGCCGCCTGAATGAGTGCAAAACGGCCGCCTTTGCTGATTCGTGGGCCTTGTCCAGAGACTTTTCGTCGAGCACCATGACATCGTCCCCCCACACCTCCTCCATCTTCTGCACATAGTTGTCAAACTCGTCCTGAAGAGCTGTCAACTTTCCGGCTTTGTTCATTGCTTTGACGAGGCTGTCGATGTCAGCGAATCTGTAGCTTTCCACACAGTTGACAAAAGTCCTCATAAATTTCATCAGCTTCCTGCATGTCAGCGGACCGCCCGCTACCATCTTTCTAGACATCGTAGCAGGAGTGAACAGTTCTGACATTAGCTCGTCCAGCTTCTCTACGAAGTCTGACTCCATGTCTTTGGGATCGCCATTGAATGATGAGCGTTCTGCGACAACCCTGCCGGGGTATGGCAGCAAGAAGCCGTCCACACTTGAGAAGCATCTGCGGAACTCCTCCCGCAGCGAGGTAATACTCCCGTCACTATTCAGGCGTCTTTCGACCAAGGCTTTGCCTCCGTGACTGCCAAATGGGTGATCCTCCGGATGTGCCCAGTCCCGTATCAGGAAAAGGAGATCCATGAATGCGGTTTCATCGGCTGAGTTCACGGCACGCCTTCCGAAGTCGGCGAAGAGTTGGAGGAACTCAAGGTCATTGCCTTTTAGATCCTGCATCAAGTTGAACACTGAGAGAGAGCTGACAACAGTGCTCAGAACAAAAATTTTCGCTGAATCTGTAACACGCGAGTTCGTATCGTACAGCCCTTGAGTGTCCATGAGGATCAGAAGCGCCTCTTCCCCAGAGGGCAGAGTTATTGGCGTGGGCTGCGACATGACCATGCCGTTTGTGTGCGGCTCGCTGCCGCTCTTCCATTCGAAGCTCTCAGCTTTGTAGTCGAGCCAACGGGTTTTGTCGGGTGCCGTCAGGTAACGAACCATGGAGTTTAGTAAGAACGATTTGCCCGTCCGATAGGCGCCAGTTACCGACAACACCACAACGGGAGAGTTCTGATCACTCTCAGACAGAAGGGCCCGTAGGTTCTCCTCATGCAAATGCAGCTCTTTGCTTTCTCCATTTTCAATCACGCTGATAATTTGCTTTGGTTGCATTGCTGCCAGCACCTGAAACAACACCACACACATGGGGTTATTGATCATTTCAATCTCTGGTCATGTATATGTTACAGTTAGTATGCGAAATCCGTTAGTTTGCAACGCAACTAGTTTCGTTGTAAACTACCTGACCGGCCAGGTAGTTTGCAACGAAACTAGTTCCGTTGCAAACTAACTGACCGTCCAGTTAGTTTGCAAACTAACTAGTTAGGATGCAAACTACCTAGGTACGTTGCAAACCACCTAGTTACTTTGCAAGGGAACTAGGTGTGTTGCAACGGAACTAGTTGTAATGCGAAATCGACGAGGCAGTGGCTCTATTTGTAGGTTATATTCAACTTTTATGTAAATTTTAACAACGGTTGTTAAAACAAAACTGTGTTTTTCTAACGGGGGACACTACAGCATTTTAGGCGCAATTTCAAAAAGTTAAAGACCAAATTCAAAACGTTCACGTGCATTTTGAATGTAAACTTTTTGAATTTGGTCTTTAAATTTTTGAAATTGCGCCTCAAAAGGTGTAGATGTCGTAGGCATCGGGTGAAATCCGGCATTTCATGAAATGCCTAGGCATTACATGGAATGCCGGCAAAAACTGAAATCTTCGTAGAAATAGGCGCGTTACAGCGAATGCCTGAAAATTTTAGGCATTTCATGAAATGCCAGGCGGAGGCCAGGCACTCCCTGAAATATGGTCAAAATTAACTGAGTACACTCGTTGCCTAGGCATTACATGGATTGCCCAAAAGACGACCGGCACTCTATGTAACAAAACTTTTCGTACGCGGACGGTTGTGTGCATATACACGCCGGCGGGCGGGCGGGGGAAGGACGTTATCGTATTGGTGTAAAATGGGCTAACACTTCGAGATATTTCACGGATCGTCTCGTCTGCAGCGTATCTACTTTATTGTTAGCTAGTACACAAATATTACACTGTGCAGTTATCGGGTTTCTCTGAAGTGTGGGGTCTGCTGTGTTGGTCCATAGGCAGTAAAAAACAAAATATCGTCTGGAAACTCTTATAGAGACCGCATTTTCAAACAAAAGGTTCCAGAACTGTTTTATTATTTGTTGACACATGGGAGCGCCGCGTGGCACCGACTCGTACACATCATTCCAGCCTTACGGCACTTGCACCTCTTGGTGTTGCACTGTTTGGCGCTGGCCCGGCATGCACACTGCTTCATCCCTTGCCCTCCAAAAAGTGACTGCTCTCGGAACGCCTCTCTCAGGCCAAGAGTGCGATCTGTTCCGACCACCCCAACCTCGTTTGCATTGGTTTCCCGCAAAGCTGAGCGCGGAAACCAGCCCTTTATGACCCCGGCGCGCGTACTCAGCTGATACACATCATTCCTTGCATCAGTGATCACTGCATGGATGTTAGCGGGATCGAGCGGCCCACGGTCCACTTTAGGCATGGCCATTACTACGGGGGTCCCGACCGCTAGGGCTGGGAGTTCAGTGATCACATCCACGCAGTGATCACTGATGCAAGGAATGATGTGTATCAGCTGAGTACGCGCGCCGGGGTCATAAAGGGCTGGTTTCCGCGCTCAGCTTTGCGGGAAACCAATGCAAACGAGGTTGGGGTGGTCGGAACAGATCGCACTCTTGGCCTGAGAGAGGCGTTCCGAGAGCAGTCACTTTTTGGAGGGCAAGGGATGAAGCAGTGTGCATGCCGGGCCAGCGCCAAACAGTGCAACACCAAGAGGTGCAAGTGCCGTAAGGCTGGAATGATGTGTACGAGTCGGTGCCACGCGGCGCTCCCATGTGTCAACAAATAATAAAACAGTTCTGGAACCTTTTGTTTGAAAATGAGAGTTTGGAAACTCTATAAGAGTTTCCAGACGATATTTTGTTTTTTACTGCCTATGGACCAACACAGCAGACCCCACACTTCAGAGAAACCCGATAACTGCACAGTGTAATATTTGTGTACTAGCTAACAATAAAGTAGATACGCTGCAGACGAGACGATCCGTGAAATATCTCGAAGTGTTAGCCCATTTTACACCAATACGATAACGTCCTTCCCCCGCCCGCCCGCCGGCGTGTATATGCACACAACCGTCCGCGTACGAAAAGTTTTGTTACAGAGAGTGCCGGTCGTCTTTTGGGCAATCCATGTAATGCCTAGGCAACGAGTGTACTCAGTTAATTTTGACCATATTTCAGGGAGTGCCTGGCCTCCGCCTGGCATTTCATGAAATGCCTAAAATTTTCAGGCATTCGCTGTAACGCGCCTATTTCTACGAAGATTTCAGATTTTGCCGGCATTCCATGTAATGCCTAGGCATTTCATGAAATGCCGGATTTCACCCGATGCCTACGACATAGACATAAGACAGGTGGTCACATTTAGGATAGAAACAGTGAATTAATCGGATTCGACTACATAACGTTACGATCACTGGTGGATCTAGAGGTGGGGGGGGGGGGGGCGCCCGAAATCGCTCCGCCATCTACGCAGCGCCCGAAAGCGACAAATATTTACTTATTATGAAAATGAAACGAAAACTGAACAACTTTTATAATCAAATACTTGTTTTAGACTGCACAGCCGTGTGTTAGGATTGGAATCAAAATCCGAAAGGTTTTTGGAATTAGGAGAAACTTTTTGGGATTATGTCTCCCGCAACGACCATGTGCATCTTTCTGGAACCGCTAGTGATCACCATAAATGCGTAGACATAAGCGGAAAGAAAGGTTCTGCTGCCGATTTCGGAATAGGGGAGACCCTGGAGGTATGGGCCCCCCGAAGGTATGGATATGGACCATCGCAGTTTTGAAGAAGTGTTGCGTATTTTTACACATTTGACCGCGTAAACTGGAAGCAGCCATTCCGTTATACAACCGACGTGATTTCCGAAGTCTTCCTTAGTCTTCCTTGGCAATGAGCGGCGATAAAGCGTTTTTGCCCTTTTCGAGTAAAATACGGTACATACAAAAAAAAAAATCATGATACTTTTGAACCAGGCTCGTTTTATGATGTCAGACCAGCTCTAACATAAAGTTTAAAGCATGCAAATTAGGACTGGATAGACAATTTGAAGTTTTGTTGCAAGATTATGAGCTGAGATGCTACGCACATTCTGGCGTCCTAACCGAGAGGTTCGGGCCACCCACCCCCGTTGATCCTAAATCAATGAAATGATGCTTTCATTGAATGTCATCTTCAATAAGTTTTATTTTTGCCGCGCAAGGTCGAACATTTAACTAAAAATTTCATTCGAACAAAAAAAATATCATTTATCTTATTTCGTGGAGCATGATTGAGTTTACCAAAATACTTATGTGCCAAAGTGACCTCCATGAAGTAAGCTGTTGGCCGCTTATGCGGTGGCTCTAAGAGAGATCAAGGTAGATACCAGCTACGAGTATTGTTCTCATTGTCGAGAAAAGAATATGAAACAAAGCACCGCCCCTACCTCCCGGTGTACTTAACTGGATCGAAAAAGCGCATGATTTATTTAAAGTTATCTCGAGACAAAAAAGTTGGTCCCAGATACCTAATGTCAGGCACACTTTGCAGGCGAAAAGCAATATCACGTACACAGAGTGAAAAAACGGGTCTAGCCACTGCCCACTATGGAAGAAAATTGCCTTTACACAAAACCGGCCCATACCTCTCGGGTCTCCCCTATTCCAGAACCGCGCCGCTGACGAGCTCCTACCTCCACAACCGATCAGTCTGTGACGCAGTCTGCCCTTTGATCATTGGCTGTTACCGAATGGCCCGGCACCGCTAGGTCACCTGGCTAGGCAAGTCGCAGTAGGAGTCGGCCGTTGAGACAGATTCTTGATCGCACGCTTATCCCGGACCACGGGCCATGGGACAATACAGTTCAGTTCTGTTCTGTGCGGCGGCGGCGGTGGTGACTGGTGTTAAAAAATCAAAATCGCAAAATGCCCCCCGGAACTGCCCCTCCTCTGGATCCGCTATAGTGATCGTCACATTATCCAAAATTGGAGGATCAAAAGCATGCGATAGCATGCTTTTGCATCCGGAAATTCCCATTGGTGGGTCGCTGAAGAAAAGTTCGGCCAAGCCTGTTTGTCAGTATGTGAGTGAGTATGTGAGTATGTGAGTGAGTTTGTCCAAGCTTTTTTGGACCTGGAGTCAAAATGGGTGGACCGATCGGGACGAAAGTGGGACCGTTCGACTCGGCTCCGGCGAGGTAAACTTTTGGTACTGGCCTCGGTTCGCTCAGTGGTTCGTGGCACATGCTATTCCGCTTCAAAGTTTCGGTGACACGAAATTTTTTGTCAAGGCTACAGGTCAACCCGAGGTCACGGACAAAGCCACACTGGCGGGACACATCGGTAACACCTTGAACCAGTTTCCAGGGGGGTCACCGTCTGCGAGGGGTGCAGGCTGCACGTGCTGGGGGCGGAAAACCGTTTTGACGTGAGGTCCTCTGGCTCAAAGAAATTTTGAGCTATCAACCGCAAAATCGGTTCAATGGTAGTCTCAGGCAAGGCCTCCAAAATAGTGCACATTTGGTTGAGCTAAACTCTGTGGTGCATGAGCTATGTACGTGCAAGCCGATTGCACCCCTTCGTGCGTTGCCACGCCTGCAGGGTAAACGGCCGCTCTAACTGGTTCAAAACTTGCAGGTCATAAGAAGAATACATTGAGTCATAACATTCCGGCGAGGTAATATCCGAGGGGTGCAAGCTGCGCGTGCGGGGGGCGGATAACGGTTTTGACTAGGGATCCTCTGATCCCGGGAAACGTCGATCTAGCGACACAAAAGTCGGTAGGCACTGATAGAACTAGACACACGCTACATGATGTTATGAAAATGACTGCACTGGGATGCCTGGGACATGAACTATGCACGTGCAGTTCATTCATACCATACTGTAGGTAGATATCCGCACCAATCTCACGTGCTTCGAAGCATTTTTGGGATGCTTCGTTTGGTTTCAGGTTCAGTCCAAGCGTATATAGGGCCTTGGTCCAAGCTCAGTCTGGGTTTCGGTGGTTTGGCCCGGTGTGTGCC